ATACGATAGGATACGATAAGATAGGATACGATAAGATAGGATACGATACGATAGGATACGATACGATAAGATAGGATACGATAAGATAGGATACGATAAGATAGGATACGATACGATAGGATACGATACGATAAGATAGGATACGATACGATAGGATACGATAAGAGACGATACGATACGATAGGCTACAATAAGATAGGATACGATACGATAGGATACGATACGATAAGATACGATAAGAGACGATACGATAAGATAGGATACGATAAGAGACGATACGATACGATAGGATAAGAGACGATACCATATGATAGGATACGATAAGAGATGATACGATAAGAGACGATAAGAGACGATACAATACGATAAGAGACGATAAGAGACAATACGATAGGATACAATACGATAGGATAGGATAGGATACGATAGGATACGATACGATAGGATACGATACGATAAGATAGGATACGATACGATAGGATACGATAAGAGACGATACGATACGATAGGCTACAATAAGATAGGATACGATACGATAGGATACGATACGATAAGATACGATAAGAGACGATACGATAAGATAGGATACGATAAGAGACGATACGATACGATAGGCTACGATAAGATAGGATACGATAGGATACGATACGATAAGATACGATAAGAGACGATACGATAAGATAGGATACGATAAGAGACGATACGATACGATAGGATAAGAGACGATACCATATGATAGGATACGATAAGAGATGATACGATAAGAGACGATAAGAGACGATACAATACGATAAGAGACGATAAGAGACAATACGATAGGATACAATACGATAGGATACGATAGGATACGATAGGATAGGATACAATAGGATGATACGATAGGATACGATAGGATGATACGATAGGATAAGATACGATAAGAGACGATACGATACAATAGGATACGATAGGATAGGATAGGATAGGATAGGATACGATAATACAATACGATGCGATAAGATACGATAATACTTTAAAGGTCCAGTCTGAAATGCTCCTTGCATCCCAGCAGCTCCATGTGTAACATCCCAGCAGCTCCATGTGTAACATCCCAGCAGCTCCACGTGTAACATCACAGCAGCTCCGCGTGTAACATCACAGCAGCTCCATGTGTAACATCACAGCAGCTCCATGTGTAACATCACAGCAGCTCCATCTGTAACGTCACAGCAGCTCCATGTGTAACATCACAGCAGCTCCGCGTGTAACATCACAGCAGCTCCATGTGTAACATCCCAGCAGCTCCATGTGTAACATCACAGCAGCTCCATGTGTAACATCACAGCAGCTCCATGTGTAACATCACAGCAGCTCCGCGTGTAACATCACAGCAGCTCCATGTGTAACATCCCAGCAGCTCCATGTGTAACATCACAGCAGCTCCGCGTGTAACATCACAGCAGCTCCATGTGTAACATCCCAGCAGCTCCGTGTGTAACATCACAGCAGCTCCATGTGTAACATCCCAGCAGCTCCATGTGTAACATCACAGCAGCTCCGCGTGTAACATCACAGCAGCTCCATGTGTAACATCCCAGCAGCTCCATGTGTAACATCACAGCAGCTCCGCGTGTAACATCACAGCAGCTCCGCGTGTAACATCCCAGCAGCTCCGTGTGTAACATCCCAGCAGCTCCGTGTGTAACATCACAGCAGCTCCATGTGTAACATCCCAGCAGCTCCATGTGTAACATCACAGCAGCTCCATGTGTAACATCCCAGCAGCTCCATGTGTAACATCCAGCAGCTCCATGTGTAACATCACAGCAGCTCCATGTGTAACATCCCAGCAGCTCCATGTGTAACATCACAGCAGCTCCATGTGTAACATCCCAGCAGCTCCGTGTGTAACATCACAGCAGCTCCGTGTGTAACATCACAGCAGCTCCGTGTGTAACATCACAGCAGCTCCGTGTGTAACATCCCAGCAGCTCCATGTGTAACATCACAGCAGCTCCATGTGTAACATCACAGCAGCTCCATGTGTAACATCCCAGCAGCTCCGTGTGTAACATCACAGCAGCTCCATGTGTAACATCACATCAGCTCCATGTGTAACATCCCAGCAGCTCCATGTGTAACATCACAGCAGCTCCATGTGTAACATCCCAGCAGCTCCATGTGTAACATCACAGCAGCTCCATGTGTAACATCACAGCAGCTCCATGTGTAACATCCCAGCAGCTCCATGTGTAACATCACAGCAGCTCCATGTGTAACATCCCAGCAGCTCCATGTGTAACATCACAGCAGCTCCATGTGTAACATCACAGCAGCTCCATGTGTAACATCACAGCAGGATCAGTGAGAGCTGCTCAAAGAGCCTTCAGCGTGATCTGATCTGGAGCTCTGTGTTCACTGAGAGGACTGGAGCTCAGAGGATGCTTCAGGCTGACTGGAGCACAGAGGATGCTTCAGGCTTTATTCAATCTCCATCAGATGGTAGCAGTTCAGAGCATGCTTTGGGTCCCAGAGGATGCTGTTGGAGCCTCTCAGGTTATTATGGTCTGTGAGTCAGAAAGTTTACACATGGTCCTACTGAGTGTTCGAGTGATGATTTAGACTCTAATTTAGACTTCCTGTGTTTATGCAGTGGCGTACCGTGGGGCTGTAGACGGGGCCTTCAGTCAACAATGGAACAGCACGCACAGTACACACACTTTACACACACTTTACACACACTTTACACACACTTTACACACACTTTACACGCACAGTACACGCACAGTACACACACTTTACACACACTTTACACACACTTTACACACACTTTACACACACAGTACACACACTTTACACACACTTTACACGCACACTTTACACACACTTTACACACACTTTACACACACTTTACACGCACAGTACACACACTTTACACACACTTTACACACACTTTACACACACTTTACACACACTTTACACGCACAGTACACACACTTTACACACACTTTACACACACTTTACACACACTTTACACGCACACTTTACACACACTTTACACACACTTTACACGCACAGTACACACACTTTACACACACTTACACACACTTTACACACACTTTACACACACTTTACACGCACTTTACACACACTTTACACACACTTTACACACACTTTACACACACTTTACACACACTTTACACACACTTTACACGCACAGTACACACACTTTACACACACTTTACACACACACACACACTTTACACACACACTTTACACACACAGTACACACACTTTACACACACTTTACACGCACACTTTACACACACTTTACACACACTTTACACACACTTTACACACACTTTACACACACTTTACACACACTTTACACACACTTTACACACACTTTACACACACTTTACACACACTTTACACACACATTACACCACTTTACACACAGACACACACTTTACACACACTTTACACACATCTTACACACACTGTACACACACTTTACAACCACAGGTACACACACTTTACACACACTTTACACACACTTTACACACACTTTAACACACACTTTACACACACAGTACCACACACTTACACACACTTGTACACACACTGTACACACACTTTACACCACCACTTTACACACACAGTACACCACACTTGAACACACACTTTACACACACTTTACACACACTTTACACACACTTTACACACACACTACACACACACTTTACACGACAACTTTACACACAACTTTACAACACACTTTACACACACTTTACACACACAGTACACACTTTACACACACTTCACACACACTTCACACACACTTTACACACACCTTACACACACTTTACCGCACAGACACACACGTTACACACACACGTTACACACACTTTACACACACTTTACACACACTTTACACACACATTACACACACTTTACACACACTTTACACAATTACACCACAACTTACACACACTTTACACACACAGTACACACACTTTACACGCACAGTACACACACTTTACACACACTTTACACACACTTTACACACACTTTACACACACAGTACACACACTTTACACACACTTTACACACACTTTACACACACTTTACACACACTTTACACACACTTTACACACACAGTACACACACAGTACACACACTTTACACACACTTTACACACACTTTACACGGCTCTGTTCCAGCCAACGCAGCCATGATCTAATGATGCGCACATTATGCCAAACAGTCTCTCAACAATACAACAGCTGATCAACAATCACAACAGCTGATCAACAGTCACAACAGTGAGCTAGATAAGGGATGAATGCAGACGACATGTCCCAACATTGATCAATGAAGTCATCTATTATTAAACTTGTGTCATCGTGCACTCTCACGTCGCTCTAAAATGAGGCGAATAGTAACGTGCTCACCCGTCACTGATCACTGTCATTGAACATCAACATCTGATTGGCTGATTAATCTGTCACTAATGCTTATTACCAATCAAATGTGTTGTGTTTCAACAAAAGGCTAGCAGTGTCTGTTGTGCCCCCGCCAACTAAAATAACTGTGAGGCGTTCAAGTGACTTTTTGATGTAGGAAATTCCAGTTCAGCCTCAACAAAACCTCACTTCATTTTGTAATTTTGAGGATATTATACTATTAAAACGTATAACTAAATATTCATGAAAAACATTTTACACACACTTTATTTGACTGGTTACAGGGCCAGCAGCGCACCACTGTGTTTATGTGAGACCTGGCTTCATACAGCAGCCTTGGATGTACCGGGTTTTAACATTTAGAGGAAGAGAGATTCCCTCTGATGTCTGGACTTAGATGTGAACACACAGAGCTGCTCAGATTCAGTCTTGTTGAAATCCCATCGGAGCAGAAACTCCTTGAGATAACGAGTTTCGACTTCTGAGAGTCTGCGTTTGATGTCCAGACGTTTTTGAAGCAGTTTTTAAACCTGAAAACTCTGCACTAACTTTCATTTTGTATTGGTTTTGGAGAAACAAGTGGTAGTGCGGCCTCGTCTCTTAAAGATCTTGATCTGTTTGGAGCTTACATCTGTTTTGGATTGAGAAAAATAACCTCATTAAACACATTTGAAGGGATTTAGACACGATATGAAGCTGGATATTATTCACATTACGAGTGTAGGGAATGGACCGTTTGCAGATGATGATGGATTGAATATTTAGGATTAATAAGTTGTTTAGGCCACCATCAAATCTATTCTGTGGGGTTTGTTTGGCAGCCAGAGTTCACCTTAAAACTGAGTGGTTAAAAAGGACTCTGTGTAACCTCGAGATCTAGAAACCTTTGAAACAAGTGGACAGTTATAAGTTCCTGAATTCAGCATCACCGCGACGCAATGGTCATCACATACATACAAACATCTTGGTGAAAAAAGGGTCAGAATCGACTGCATTTCTTTGAGGAGACGGAGGTGAAGCTCCTGGTCTAAGGAGCAGAAGAGAGGCTCCTGACTGGAAGCAGCCTGGCTCAGTTAGTGGACGTCTGGAGGCAGGAGGGCTCAGCAGGGAGTCGTTAAAACATTAGAACGTCATCCTGTTTACCGAGCATCGGTGATGTAAGTGCCGGCTGAGAGCCGAGGACAGAGCCCTCAGTTTACCTGCATCAGATCCGCTGAACACACGAGCTGCTGCACCGTGCGAGCTACACACACATCTGAGCTTATTACTTCATATTCTGCTTTATCGATGGAGACGTCTAACTCTGAACCACTTGGTGCCTGGTGCCACTTGATCCGGCCCACGGGGGTCCTGGGAGGGTGGGGGTTTTATTTTAGTTTGTTTTGTAAGGGAACTGTTTGTATGTTCTTTCACGGGGTATGTATGTGTCTTGTACCATGTTTTTCTGTGTTTCTCCTTAAAGGGGACCTATCATGCAAAATGCACTTTTGTACGTCTTTTATACATGAATATGTGTCCCCGGTGTTCCAGGGAACTCACCAAGTGTCAGAAAACACAACCCTCTCTATTTTCCTCCATACCCAAATCTCTAAAAAAGGGGCTGCAACGGATCTGATAAAAACTGATCCAGATTTGAACACTGTCCTGACGTCAGGACGGTGGCGCTACGGCTATTGGGCCAACTCCACCAATCAGGAGGAGACAGCCACGGCCATTGCCGTTCCAAAGCGCTGGAGACGCTGTAGTACATATGCCAGGCCAGTAGATGGTGCTGTTCTCACTGAATCAGCCCGTACACAAACAGAGCTAAAAAATGTCAAATTGAGCGAAATGAGGCATGGCTAAAATGCATGATCTGTTTGGTATTTTATACCTTATATAGGTATGGTCCTACACTATATTATTCAAATATAGCATGATAGGTCCACTTTAAATAAATAAAAAATGTGATCACAAAAACCGATGGAGACGTCCGATCACCAGGTCACTTTTTACTCTTAGCACAGCCATAGTGCCTATAGACGTGTTCATTGAAAACAGGGGACTTGATAAACAAAGTCCCTGAGTGTCCTTCTGGTGCGTTTCGGCAGCACTGAGACACAGGGGGACACAATGCCTTAATCTGAACTCATAGTATGATCAAAGATATCTGAACTTGGCGAGTAAGAACCCACAGTTGTTCTTCGTGCTGTCGCCTCTCATCGTGCAGCTGAAATGGTGATGTTTGGAGGAAGGCCGGTGATTCTGCAGAACTCACAGAGGGCCAGTCCGCTCCGGTGTTCCACTAAAAAACGCTTATTGCAGCAAAATGGGACCAACATTTTGACTTTGCAAACATTTTCTACAATAAATACATTTCCTTTTGGGGCACAGCCATGTTTCCTCCTCCTCTGTAACTCCTGTTGTCTCTGCTAGGTCTCTCAGCCTCGGCCTCTCTGGTCTCCCTGTCCTGGATGGTGGCCTCGTATCAGAAGGTTCTGCGGGACTCGCGGGACGATAAGCTGCCGATGAGCTACAAGGCGGTGCTGGTGCAGATCCTGTGGCACCTCTTCACCATCGGAGCCCGCACGCTGGCCTTCGCTCTGTTCGCCTCCGTGTTCCCGCTCTACTTCGGCATCTTCGTGGTGGCCCACTGGTGCATCATGACCTTCTGGATCATCCAGGGCGAGACGGACTTCTGCATGTCCAAGTGGGAGGAGATCATCTACAACATGATGGTGGGCATCGTCTACATCTTCTGCTGGTTCAGCGTGAGGGAGGGCCGCACCCGCTGCCGGCTGCTGATCTACAGGTTAGAGTCCCCTACGTGTTGTCCTTATTGGGGTCAAAGGTCTCCTATCATGCAAAGTGCACTTTCTGATGTCTTCTCTACATCAACATGTGTCCCCTCTTCTTCATGTCTCTTCTACATCAACATGTGTCCCCTCTTCTTCATGTCTCTTCCACATCAACATGTGTCCCCTCTTCTTCATGTCTCTTCCACATCAACATGTGTCCCCTCTTCTTCATGTCTCTTCTACATCAACATGTGTCCCCTCTTCTTCATGTCTCTTCTTCATCAACATGTGTCCCCTCTTCTTCATGTCTCTTCTACATCACCATATGTCCCCTCTTCTTCATGTCTCTTTTACATCAACATGTGTCCCCTCTTCTTCATGTCTCTTCTACATCAACATGTGTCCCCTCTTCTTCATGTCTCTTCTACATCAACATGTGTCCCCTCTTCTTCATGTCTCTTCTACATCAACATGTGTCCCCTCTTCTTCATGTCTCTTCTACATCAACATGTGTCCCCTCTTCTTCATGTCTCTTCTACATCAACATGTGTCCCCTCTTCTTCATGTCTCTTCTACAATCAACATGTGCCCCTCTTCTCATTCTCTTCTACATCAAACATGTGGTCCCCTCTTCTTCATGTCTCTTCTTCATCAACATGTGTCCCCTCTTCTTCATGTCTCTTCCCATCAACATGTGTCCCCTCTTCTTCATGTCTCTTCTCATCACCATGTGTCCCCCTCTTCTTCATGTCTCTTCGACATCACCATGTGTCCCCTCTTCTTCATGTCTCTTCTACATCAACATTGTCCCCTCTTCTTCATGTCTCTTCTACATCAACATGTGTCCCCTCTTCTCATCTCTCTTTCACTGTCTCTTCTTCATCAACATGTGTCCCCTCTTCTTCATGTCTCTTCTACATCACCATGTGTCCCCTCTTCTTCAATGTCTCTTCTACATCAACATGTGTCCCCTCTTCTTCATGTCTCTTCTACATCAACATGTGTCCCTCTTCTTCATGTCTCTTCTACATCAACATGTGTCCCCTCTTCTTCAGTCTCTTCTACATCAACATGTGTCCCCTCTTCTTCATGTCTCTTCTTCATCAACATGTGTCCCCCTCTTCTTCATGTCTCTTCTACATCACCATGTGTCCCCTCTTCTTCATGTCTCTTCTACATCACCATGTGTCCCCTCTTCTTCATGTCTCTTCTACATCAACATGTGTCCCCTCTTCTTCATGTCTCTTCTACATCAACATGTGTCCCCTCTTCTTCATGTCTCTTCTACATCAACATGTGTCCCCTCTTCTTCATGTCTCTTCTACATCAACATGTGTCCCCTCTTCTTCATGTCTCTTCTACATCAAACATGTGTCCCCTCTTCTTCATGTCTCTTCTATCATCAACATGTGTCCCCTCTTCTTCATGTCTCTTCTACATCAACATGTGTCCCCTCTTCTTCATGTCTCTTCTTCATCAACATGTGTCCCCCTCTTCTTCATGTCTCTTCTTCATCAACATGTGTCCCCTCTTCTTCATGTCTCTTCTACATCAACATGTGTCCCCTCTTCTTCATGTCTCTTCTTCATCAACATGTGTCCCCTCTTCTTCATGTCTCTTCTCATCAACATGTGTCCCCTCTTCTTCATGTCTCTTCTACATCAACATGTGTCCCCTCTTCTTCATGTCTCTTCTACATCAACATGTGTCCCCTCTTCTTCATGTCTCTTCTACATCAACATGTGTCCCCTCTTCTTCATGTCTCTTCTTCATCAACATGTGTCCCCTCTTCTTCACGTCTCTTCTACATCAACATGTGTCCCCTCTTCTTCACGTCTCTTCTTCATCAACATGTGTCCCCTCTTCTTCACGTCTCTTCTACATCAACATGTGTCCCCTCTTCTTTATGTCTCTTCTTCATCAACATGTGTCCCCTCTTCTTCATGTCTCTTCTACATCAACATGTGTCCCCTCTTCTTCATGTCTCTTCTACATCAACATGTGTCCCCTCTTCTTCATGTCTCTTCTACATCAACATGTGTCCCCTCTTCTTCATGTCTCCTCTTCATCAACATGTGTCCCCTCTTCTTCATGTCTCTTCTACATCAACATGTGTCCCCTCTTCTTCATGTCTCTTCTACATCAACATGTGTCCCCTCTTCTTCATGTCTCTTCTACATCAACATGTGTCCCCTCTTCTTCATGTCTCTTCTACATCAACATGTGTCCCCTCTTCTTCATGTCTCTTCGACATCAACATGTGTCCCCTCTTCTTCATGTCTCTTCTACATCAACATGTGTCCCCTCTTCTTCATGTCTCTTCTACATCAACATGTGTCCCCTCTTCTTCATGTCTCTTCTACATCAACATGTGTCCCCTCTTCTTCATGTCTCTTCTTCATCAACATGTGTCCCCTCTTCATCATGTCTCTTCTACATCAACATGTGTCCCCTCTTCTTCATGTCTCTTCTACATCAACATGTGTCCCCTCTTCTTCATGTCTCTTCTACATCAACATGTGTCCCCTCTTCTTCATGTCTCTTCTTCATCAACATGTGTCCCCTCTTCTTCATGTCTCTTCTTCAATCAACATGTGTCCCCTTCTTCATGTCTCTTCTACATCAACATGTGTCCCCTCTTCTTCATGTCTCTTCTACATCAACATGTGTCCCCTCTTCTTTATGTCTCTTCTTCATCACCATGTGTCCCCTCTTCTTCATGTCTCTTCTTCATCACCATGTGTCCCCTCTTCTTCATGTCTCTTCTTCATCAACATGTGTCCCCTCTTCTTCATGTCTCCTCTTCATCAACATGTGTCCCCTCTTCTTCATGTCTCTTCTTCATCAACATGTGTCCCCTCTTCTTCATGTCTCTTCTTCATCAACATGTGTCCCCTCTTCTTCATGTCTCTTCTTCATCACCATGTGTCCCCTCTTCTTCATGTCTCTTCTTCATCAACATGTGTCCCCTCTTCTTCATGTCTCTTCTTCATCAACATGTGTCCCCCTCTTCTTCATGTCTCTTCTACATCAACATGTGTCCCCTCTTCTTCATGTCTCTTCTTCATCAACATGTGTCCCCTCTTCTTCATGTCTCTTCTTCATCAACATGTGTCCCCTCTTCTTCATGTCTCTTCTTCATCAACATGTGTCCCCTCTTCTTCATGTCTCTTCTACATCAACATGTGTCCCCTCTTCTTCATGTCTCTTCTTCATCAACATGTGTCCCCTCTTCTTCATGTCTCTTCTTCATCAACATGTGTCCCCTCTGTGTAAAGAGACTCTGAAAGTTTCAGGAACAAATATTCTCTCTCTTTTTGATCCATTTCTATAAAAACCTGTCTGAAAATGAGCTGATCAGATTTTGGCCACTTGATGATGTCATAACGATGTTTTGTCTTGTGTAACCATTAGCCAATCAGCAACCAAGGTAACCCCCCCCCCCACCTTATCACCTGAATCTCCTCCTAGAGCACCATTGAGTTCTTTGTAACCAAATCTCTCTCAGAGGGGCGTGGGGAGGGGCTCCTTATTTTCATCTAAAGTATCAGACAGAGAATCAGCACTTTGGAAACAGGGCTGAAACAGAGGGGATTATGGGTAATGCTGCAATGATCTGTTTGGTGTTTCAGCCAATCAGAGACAGGCTCTGGATATATCTGAGACCTGTGATATACTGATGAAGAAGAGGATGATAGGGGACCTTTAATGCTCTTAATGTCTTTCATGTTTAAAGCACTTTGCCTCGTGTTGAAAGTGTCTGTATGAATAAACCTGCGTTGCCTTACAGCCTGACGGTTCTGCTGGAGAACGTGTTCCTCACCGCCGCCTGGTACCTTCACCGAGGCCCCTCTTCCTCGGAATCCTACGCCGTCGCCATGGTGTGCGTTGTGTCCAGCAGCTACGCTTTGGGCAGCTTCTTCATGTGTGTTTATTACTGCCTGCTGCACCCCGACGGGCCCGTGTCGGGGTGGCGGCCGGTCGTGGAGAAGGAGGATTTGCCCGCGGAGTTGCTAGCTTCCCCGGCGGTTAGCCTCCCGCCGGACGTGGTTAGCAGCCCCCCCAGAACCCTGCAGAGGACTAAAGGGCCGGATTATTCGGGGGTGGACGGAGACGTGTTTCAGGTTCGGCCTCAGCGGGGGGTCCAGGCTCCGGTTCCCAGCCTCTCCCCGCGCACAGAGGGGCCTGTGATCCGGATAGATCTGCCCAGGAAGAAGTACCCGGCCTGGGACGCTCACTTCATTGACCGCCGGCTGCGTAAAACCATCCTCGTGCTGGAGAGTGCGGCGCCCGTCACGCCCCGGATCCAGTACCGCTGCCTGGCCACGCCCAAAGAGGTGATGGAGTACGAGACCACGGTGTGACGCCTTCAATGAGATCAGACTCAACTCAACTCAACGCCGCTGCCGCCGTGTGGAATAAAGACTCTCGCCGCGTTTCTCTCGGAGACAAACGGGCGGAGGAAGCGACGGAGTGTGGTGTCCCTTTTTATTGTTTTTTTTTTACAGAAGCAAAGTGCTGTGTGGTGTTGTTTGATGATGATGGTGATGGTGATGGTGCATATTCCTGGTTACTGTATCAGTTCTCAGGTCAGGGTGTGGTACAGGAGGTGGTACAGGAGGTGGTACAGGAGGTGGTACAGGAGGTGGTACAGGAAGTGGTACAGGAGGTGGTACAGGAGGGGGGTGATGGTCAGCTGCACATCCTCTCACAGAGACGGCCTTCAACATGCAGGAGTATCTATAGAACTGGACCAGATGTAGGGCTGCAACAAGACTCTTTTTTTGTGCACGTGATAAAGCTCGCTGTGGGTGAGCTACAGTTAGCCACCCTTAATTATAGTATTTAAAAAATATGTTTTAAAATCATTACAAACATTTACAGGACACAGTTTTGGAGTCAAACCATCCTTTAAAGGCGCTGAATCCTCAAGAGGAAAGTAAGAAGGACAGCCTTTCAATTTGACTTAACATTTTTGTGCAAGACGCTTTTCTTCAGCACGTCTTCTGGTCATTTTCACCATCCAGGTTCACAGCTGTGTTTCATTAACAGTGACTGCAACCAGAATACATGCTAACATATTTAATTTGCACGATTCAGTCAAATTGAAGTGTCCTCGTCCCTCTTTTTCTGTCTAAACGATTAGTTTACAATATGATAATTCCATTCGATGATATGATACGATAACAGACGCATTTTTTAAATAATCTGCGGGTTAATCCAAAATAAAAACAGATTTAGTTGCAGCCCTATGTACATGACATGTCATTTGTTAGACGCTTTTATCCAAAGCGACTTACATACTCAATACTGTGGACAATCCCCACAGGAGCACTTTGGGGTGAAGTGTCTTCAGGGACACAACGACATGCTGACTGCAGTGGGGTTTGAACCTGTGAATCGAAGTCCAGCACACTATCCACTAAGCCACAGCCTCCCATAGAAGAGTGAGAGCACATTAAACACACAATCAGAAACTCCTGATGTTGAAGGAGTCTCCGCTTCACGCCTGAAAAAGCAACATTTGTGTTGAATGTAAAAACAGTTGGAAATGTGATTATCGGTGAAAAGGCTCCGAGCGTTTTCACGTTAGTGGGATTTACAACATTCCTGTGGTTCTGATCTGTTTTTGTAAAAGGTAAGCTAGAACAAAAAAAAGAGATTTGTGTTTACGGGCCGTCTGTTCCTCACACCTCCATGCAGAGCGTGTGTGAACACTGGGATTTATTAAGTACGCAGCCCGACAGGTGCAAACACGCTACAACGTCCCAGAACACAGCTTCAGAAACTATGCAGAAATCAAATCACAAATGTTCCACATGAAGAAACATCTTCAGCAACAACACGCACACAGCTGGAGACCAGGGGACACTAAAGAGTGACGCACACAGCTGGAGACCAGGGGACACTAAAGAGTGACGCACACAGCTGGGAGACCAGGGGACACTAAAGAGTGACGCACACAGCTGGGAGACAAGGGGACACTAAAGAGTGACGCACACAGCTGGGAGACCAGGGGACACTAAAGAGTGACGCACACAGCTGGGAGACCAGGGGACACTAAAGAGTGACGCACACAGCTGGGAGACCAGGGGACACTAAAGAGTGACGCACACAGCTGGGAGACCAGGGGACACTAAAGAGTGACGCACACAGCTGGGAGACCAGGGGACATTAAAGAGTGACGCACACAGCTGGGAGACCAGGGGACACTAAAGAGTGACGCACACAGCTGGGAGACCAGGGGACATTAAAGAGTGACGCACACAGCTGGGAGACCAGGGGACACTAAAGAGTGACGCACACAGCTGGGAGACCAGGAGACATTAAAGAGTGACGCACACAGCTGGGAGACCAGGGGACACTAAAGAGTGACGCACACAGCTGGGAGACCAGGGGACACTAAAGAGTGACGCACACAGCTGGAGACAAGGGGACACTAAAGAGTGACGCACACAGCTGGAGACAAGGGGACATTAAAGAGTGACGCACACAGCTGGGAGACCAGGGGACACTGAAGAGTGACGCACACAGCTGGAGACCAGGGGACATTAAAGAGTGACGCACACAGCTGGGAGACCAGGGGACATTAAAGAGTGACGCACACAGCTGGGAGACCAGGGGACACTAAAGAGTGACGCACACAGCTGGGAGACCAGGGGACACTAAAGAGTGACGCACACAGCTGGGAGACCAGGGGACACTAAAGAGTGACGCACACAGCTGGAGACCAGGGGACACTACCGAGTGACGCACACAGCTGGGAGACCAGGGGACACTAAAGAGTGACGCACACAGCTGGGAGACCAGGGGACACTAAAGAGTGACGCACACAGCTGGGAGACCAGGGGACACTAAAGAGTGACGCACACAGCTGGGAGACCAGGGGACACTGAAGAGTGACGCACACAGCTGGGAGACCAGGGGACACTGAAGAGTGACGCACACAGCTGGAGACCAGGGGACACTAAAGAGTGACGCACACAGCTGGGAGACCAGGGGACACTAAAGAGTGACGCACACAGCTGGGAGACCAGGGGACACTAAAGAGTGACGCACACAGCTGGGAGACCAGGGGACACTACCGAGTGACGCTGCATGTGTCCTCAAGTTGCTGAAGGTGTTTCTTCGTGTGTTTTGGAACAGTTGTGTTTCTATATCTGCATCCTTTCTGAATGGCAGTGTTTTTGTGCCGTTGTAGCGCAGCTGCATCCGTCGGCCTCCGTACGTACAGGATGTTCTCACGCTGCATCCGTCCACACCGGACTTTAGTGAACTGTTTGATGGAGAGGGGACAGAGGGAGAGAGGGAGAGAGGGACAGAGGGGACAGAGGGACAGAGGGACAGAGGGAGAGAGGGACAGAGGGACAGAGGGACAGAGGGAGAGAGGGACAGAGGGAGAGAGGGACAGAGGGACAGAGGGAGAGAGGGACAGAGGGACAGAGGGACAGAGGGAGAGAGGGACAGAGGGACAGAGGGACAGAGGGGACAGAGGGACAGAGGGGACAGAGGGACAGAGGGGACAGAGGGACAGAGGGGACAGAGGGACAGAGGGGACAGAGGGACAGAGGGACAGAGGGACAGAGGGACAGAGGGACAGAGGGACAGAGGGAGAGAGGGACAGAGGGACAGAGGGAGAGAGGGAGAGAGGGAGAGAGGGACAGAGGGACAGAGGGACAGAGGGACAGAGGGACAGAGGGACAGAGGGACAGAGGGGACAGAGGGACAGAGGGACAGAGGGGACAGAGGGACAGAGGGGACAGAGGGACAGAGGGACATAGGGACATAGGGACAGAGGGGACAGAGGGACATAGGGACAGAGGGACAGAGGGGACATAGGGACATAGGGACAGAGGGACATAGGGACAGAGGGGACATAGGGACAGAGGGGACAGAGGGACAGAGGGGACAGAGGGACATAGGGATAGAGGGACAGAGGGGACATAGGGACAGAGGGGACATAGGGACAGAGGGGACAGAGGGACAGAGGGGACAGAGGGACATAGGGATAGAGGGACAGAGGGGACAGAGGGACAGAGGGACAGAGGGACAGAGGGGACAGAGGGGACAGAGGGGACAGAGGGACAGAGGGGACAGAGGGACAGAGGGGACAGAGGGGACAGAGGGACAGAGGGGACAGAGGGATAGAGGGACAGAGGGGACAGAGGGACAGAGGGGACAGAGGGACAGAGGGACAGAGGGGACAGAGGGACAGAGGGGACAGAGGGGACAGAGGGACAGCACTGTCTGTAACCGCAGTGTTTCTGTCTCACGTAGAGAAACGATGGATCAGCTGCAGACTCCAGACCCAGATACGCTTTGATATTACTGATGGTAATGTGGTAGTCGCGGCAACACTTTATTTTACAGGTCTGTTATTCTTTATTTGTATTTATTTAATTTAATGTATTATATATCGTGGTAAGATTCAACGGACCTGTGAAATAAAGCGTTGCTGTACTTTCTTTTATCAGGGTTGTTTTTATATCGTAGTCGTCACAACTTGCGGGAAGTGTTTGTGTGTGGTGTGTGTGTGTGTGTGTGTGTGTGTGTGTGTGTGTGTGTGTGTGTGTGTGTGTGTGTGTGTGTGTGTGTGTGTGTGTGTGTGTGTGTGTGTGTGTGTGTGTGTGTGTGTGTGTGTGTGTGTGTGTGTGTGTGTGTGTGTGTGTGTGTCTGGGGGAGTCCTGCCACTCTAATAGAAACTCTGTCCAGTCGGCTCTGACTTTTTGCAGATGACTGAAATAAACAGTCCGCAGACAGAACTCCTTTACCGCTCCTGTTGCAGTAAACAAAACTAATCATGGTGCTAACAACAACAACAACAACAACAACAACAACAACACACTGGTGCACCTAAAGAGGAGCGGGGGGAGGGGGGGGGGGGGGGGCTGTACCTCAAACACACAGCTAGAATCAAAAAGCCTTAAACTGGTCGTGCCAGACGGAGAAGACGAAGAGAGAGAGGTTTCATTTTGTTGTTGTTTCTGAAATAAAGAGCGATGTGTTTACCTGACTGCTGCCTTCTTATCTGATTGCATCTGAAAGAGAGTTCTCCCTCTCCTGCAGTGTGTTACGTAGGTCTTAGTGCATGTCAATGGTCCGCTAAGGTTACATTCCCTGTGTTCCCTCCACTGTTTACTTTACTTCAGGAACATAGTGACATCACTACGGAACACTCGCGCTCCTATTTTCAGACAGAGTATTTAATATCAGCATAAAATACATTTGAATTTGTGGGTTATTGTTGAATTTTATAGTCATTGTGTCTTTTCGTGATTACATTTGATTTTTTGTTATTATTTTGTACCTCTTTTTTTCATTGTGTATTTCTGTAGTTGTTTCTCTCCTCCAGAGGCCTGTACGACGAAGCCGGATGTTCTCTTAGCTAACTTCAGGGAAAACTCTGGGTTTCCGGTCCTACGACGCTGGTTCTCTTTTTAGCGGGCTAGATCTCCATGGTAACTGATGCTGAGCGGCTAACCTGGGGGGTATACTACGAATCTAGTTCAACATATCCTGGATATGTTTTGAGTTATCCGGTTGACTAAAGTTATCCCGCTCTCGCTAAGCTGTCCTACGACGCTGGCTATCAACTCGATCGCTCAAGCCAGCCGTGTCCTATCTAGTTAGGTGCGCGTTCACATGAAAGGGGTGGTATTTGGAGCATTCGACCAATCACAAACATGGACAAGCGTACTGACAGCGCAGCGTCATACTTCCTGAATGAAAAGTGAACTTTAATATTAGTCAAATATGAAGAAGTTAAACTTTAAACATCCATGACTTAAACACTTTATCCAGGATCAAAGCCACATAGCTGCACCTGCAAGGTGAATACAGCTGGTAACAGAGAAAGTGTTTGAATGCGTACATTAACAGGTTTATGATATCACTGCCCCGTCCAAGACACGATCTGGCCGTGCAACACTCACAGTGTCACATACTGTATGCAGAAGTATTATTTTAAGCAACACATTAAGTTGACGAAACACTGGAGTCAAATGTAATTAAAGTCAGATCGTGTCTTGGACGGGGCAGTGATATCATAAACCTGTTAATGTACGCATTCAAACACTTTCTCTGTTACCAGCTGTATTCACCTTGCAGGTGCAGCTATGTGGCTTTGATCCTGGATAAAGTGTTTAAGTCATGGATGTTTAAAGTTTAACTTCTTCATATTTGACTAATATTAAAGTTCACTTTTCATTCAGGAAGTATGACGCTGCGCTGTCAGTACGCTTGTCCGTGTTTGTGATTGGTGAAATGTTGCTAGCCCCGCCCCTTTTATGTGAACGCGTACCTAACTAGATAGGACATGGCTAGCTTGAGCGATCCACTTGATAACCCGCGTCGTAGGACCGCTTAGCGAGAGCGCGTATGTTTTGGATTAGGCCAACCGGCTAACTCAAACATATCCAGGTTAGGTTGAACCAGCTTCGTCGTACAGGCCTCCAGTGTTTCCCCTAGGATGGAGTCATAGCAGCGGTGCTAAGGCACGTGGGCCCAGCATAATGTGAGTGCGGAGCGCGTGGAATTGTGTGTGCACGTGCGAAGTGCGCCCCGCCAATTTGTTTCTATGTGTCAGCCAGCACAAGAAAGGCTCTTGAGGCCTAGCACCAGGGCCGGGTCTAGACAATTTGCTGCCCTAGGCGAGATTTTATATATAAAGAATAAATGAAAAATCTCTACTAAAGACAAATACACTACAAAAACAGAAACTTATTGACATAGGTAATATACGTCAACATGGCTTCAAATGTATTCAGTATTGTATGAACATGTTTGAATTGGGGGGTGGACATCACATCCTCTAGGGGGGTCTGGGGGTATGCTCCCCCGGGAAGATTTTTTTGAACATTTTAAAGTAAAATGCTTCAATCTGGTGCACTTTGAGCACACAATTACTAGAGACCTGGGGCCTCATTTATAAAGCCTTGCGTAGGATTGACGTGGGAAGGTTGCTTACGTCGGACAAAGCAAATAAATACGCACCGACACTTTCCGATTAAAAAAAGACTGCGTACCGGCACAGGCACGTCCTACGCCTGTTTCCCTTTATAAATCACAATCGACTCGTAACGCCCATATTTGCCATTCATTCATTCATTGTGACTGACTGCATGAAGAAGATCGCAGGAAATGAGGACAGAACAGCTAAAAAAGACATCTCACACCGTGTCAGACTTTGGTTATTGTGGGGAGGTGGAGATAAATCATATTGTTTGGTGGATGCAGTTTGAACCAGAGTAGCAGCATGGAGGTCGGATCGTCACCAAAATAAATAAATAAGTGGTCCGAAAAAAGTTAATGACAAAAGAAATACACATAACCTTCCTCAGGCAGTGTGTTTGTCCCGGGGACAGGAGACCCCCCCCTTGATGAGAAACTGTAAGAAATGATGGGGGAATCCCTCCGGAGTGTAGTCATGACGACTGGATCTGAATGATTGTGTTGTATTTGGTGGTTTGTGTTCCAGCTGTCGATCAGCAACTATATATCCATAATCCACCAGTTAAAGGAAATACAATGTGTTGTGTTATATTAGCTGTTTACCACATATGGTGTTCTTAGTTTCCATACCTCCTGGGTTTTACGAGCGACTTATCAAGTCTTGGCAAACGGCATAAAACACGATTAAACGTGATAGTATATAAAACCATGCTCGTATCTACAACCTATAGAAATGCAAAACGGCGTCAGTTTAGACGTAATTCTGTCCTCCTGCTTACCGCATCATTTATGAGAAAACATTTCTTAACAAGAGAACATCATCGAGGGGTGATCAATAACATTTGCGTATTTATTTATTTATTTATTTCTCCAAGTGATGTGTTTGTGTGCACTGAGGAGTCTCAAACAGGCGTTTGTTTCATCATTTTAAGATTGGCTTTAATCAATGTTTGAAAATGAATTCTTCATATTTGATAAATGAGAGGTAACATTTTATTTATGGTATTATTTCCACATATTTCTCTCCATTCTTCCTTCTGCCAACGGTGTCGCAGTTTCTCGTCTCTCCCGTTTGTGTGCTTAGTGCGTACGCATGGGTTAGAGTTTGCGTGGAGGACCACACATTTTCCCGTCAAGTTAGTATTTTATAAATCGCAAACAGTGCGTAGAAACTGGCGCACGCCATCTTTTGAGCATACGCACCGTTTATAAATGAGGCCCCTGATCTAGGGGGTACAACTCTAAACACCCATATGAAAAAGATCGGTTAGCATTTTAATAATCAAATAAGTATGTGAACATAACCAATAACCTACCACAGCCAATAACAAATCAATGTAACTTATTACACACACACATTACTACACACACCAGGATGTGTTGCGTCTCCTGGTGTGTGTTTTGTGATTAGATTGGGACCAAATCCCTCTCTGTGTTAAAGTGGATTAATGGATTAGCTGCAGTGAACTTCTCACCTCGACAGATATATCCTAACCTCATGTCGGGGTATCGTTGTGATTAATCTGGGAGGGTTTCCATCAGGGTATTGATCACTTCCACTGGAAAAGATTTCACGGTTTCTCTCAAACTCAACATTTGCAAGTTAATGGGCTGTGACCGCAGAATTCAAATCATGTGCAAATTGTCGTATTAACCCCTAACACTGCAGGGAAAGGTGTCAAACTAAAAGCACCTTCAAGTTAAAACATTGCTGACTATCCTCACATATTGGTTATGTTTCAGGAGTGATTTTCAACCAACCAGACAGACTAGAGCATCTTCTGCGATTTATATTGGATTTACACTAAGCTGTAAAACATTGATTTAAACCTGGAAGAACAAGAGATTAATATAATTTCATTTAGGGAACAAGTGGTTTAATCAGCTCTTATCAATTTAATATACTTTGTCATTAAATGTAATTGAATTTGGCGAGTTATTCATTGTTTCTGGAACACATCCCACTATTGTAAAATACATCACCTCCGCCACAGCCAATCAGCGCTTAGGGGGCGGGTCTACATCAGCTGTCAAGAAAATCAAGGAGGAAAATGTAGATTTAGATTAGGACAAACTCGAGCCAACAAAACATGACATTCAGTAGGAAAACCTCCACCAGGGCTGTGAGAACACTGCCAGGCAGTAGGGGGCGGTAATGCAGAATATGAAGAAAATACATCACTACAGCCACAGCCAATCAGCGCCCAGGAGGCGGGGCTACAGCTGTAGAACTGATGTGTAATTTGTAAATTGTAATTTGTGTAATTTTGTAATTTATCTTTTTATTTGTATGCTTCTTAATTAATATTAAGCTAAATGTGGCTCCTTACTTTCTGTAGAAATGTACATTTCTCCTCTGTGGGACGAATACATGTATTCTGATTCTGACTACAGCCAACCAGCTGCCAGGAAAATACATCACTAAAGCCATAGCCAATCTGCGCTCAGGGGGCGGGACTACAGCATACCGGTACTCCAGCCAACCAACAGCCAAGAAAAAACATCACTACCAGCCACAGCCAATCAGCGCTCAGGAGGCGGGACTACAGCATACCGGTACTAGCCAACCAGCTGCCGAGAACATACATCACTACAGCCACAGCCAATCAGCGCTCAGGGGGCGGGACTACAGCAGTAGAACCGGTTCCCGTTGCGTATGCGTTTCAACCAACGGCCGCATTTCTAAATAGAATGGCGACGGCTGTCTGCGGTCTGCAGTCCAACGGAAAACCGGGCAAAACACACCGAGAAACCCGCAGGAAAACCAAGGATTCCCGGAGGAGACAAGCGGCTCTATTGTTCCTCAATAATATCTCTCTCGACGGACGGCCGCTGTGGCAGCTCGGCGATGAAAACACGGATCCCACCGCGGCGGAGGAGCAGCAGAGAGACCGGGGAGACACGGAGGTTCCTCTGCCGCCGATAGAGAGCCAAGAGCCGGCCAGCGCGGTGACACAACCCCCGGTCTCTGGAGGAGGCTCGTCCTCCAGCGTCCCGGGGGTCCTCGGTCCTCCTCCCCGGCCTTCAGGAAGGATGTCCCCGGGACCAGACGGTGCTAATGAGGTATTTAGAATGTATTTATTTATTTAAGAAAATATCTATGTTCTCTGTAAGTCTAAGTCTCTCTGTAAGGCAAAATAAATCACTCTATTTACCCCATTCATAATAACCAGTACAGGCTCTATATACTCAGATATACTCAGATATACTGGGAGCTGTGCTGGTCTTTAACCAGTTCACATCTATTATAGCTTTGATTCCTCCTCACCATATAACTAGTAGAAGTACTCAGATCTGGTAATTTAGTAAAAGTAGAAGTACTCAGATCTGGTAATTTAGTAAAAGTAGAAGTACTCAGATCTTGAGTGAAAGTAGAAGTACTCAGATCTTTTACTTGAGTAAAAGTAGAAGTACTCAGATTGTGTACTTGAGTAAAAGTAGAAGTACTCAGATCTTGTACTTGAGTAAAAGTAGAAGTACCAGAGTGTAGGAATACTCTGTTACAGTAAAAGTCCTGCATTCAAAATGTTCCTCAAGTGAAAGTATAAAAGTATTCTCATCAAAATATAGTGAAAGTAGCGACAGTAAAAGTAGTCATTGTGCAGATTGGTCCATTTCAGAATAATATATATGATATGTTTTATAATGATTGATCATGAAAGTGTTCTCAAAGCTGGTAAAGGTGCAGCTAGTTTGAATGACTTTGTATACTGCAGGGTAGCTTGTGGATTTACTCCAGGTGGAACTAAAGTCTGATTTAACACTTGGTTATATTTCACATCATTCATCCACATCTGTGAAGTAACTAAAGGGATTAAATACATGTAGTGGAGTACAAGTACACCATGTACCTCTGAACTGTAGTGGAGTAGAAGTACAAAGTGAAGTGAACTACAGTTTCATGTTTCAGGTTAAATACACAGGTAGTTTTGATTGCCTTTTTGTTCATAATGTCTTTGCACTTCAGGTGTTCCTGGAGTTTGGCGGAGTGGGTGACCCTCTGACCCCCGACCCCCCCCTGTCCCCCCCCCCCCGGGCACCAGCCCTGCTCCCGGGTCCGATCCACGCCCGCTGCCCTGAGCCCGGCTCTGGACCCCCGGCAGAGGTGAGAGGCGACACAGGCCTTTTTAAAGGTCTCCTATCGTGCTATTTTTAGGCATATATTATAGGTCTCAGGTTGTAGTACAATGTGATGAAAATAAGACGTACTTTTTGTTGGAGTCAAGCTTGTTGCAACTTGTGGATTTATCGATTTTTGGATTAGACGGAACTTCACAGCCCATCATGCTGAGGATGGATTTTCACTCTCTGTCTGAAACCAGAGCCCAGGCTTAGAGATGTCCCGCCCCCTTAGCTTATAACGTAAAACGTGTTGGAGCACTAGCCAATAGGAGTGCGAGTATTATGTAGTGATGTCACTATGTCCCGGAAGTAAACAAACAGTGGAGGGAACGCAGGGATTACAATTACACAATTGACTAAATACACATCCTGTAACAGTTCTGAGGATTTAGCAGCCAGGTGTATACAGCTCAGTTAAAAAAGGACCTCTTTAATATTTTATGGTTTTCTTCATTTCCTCCAGGTTGAGGAACGTCTCTGGTTCTCCTGGACCCAAAGTGCCAAAGAAAGTCCACTTCATCAAGAGCATGAGACAGTACGACACCCGGGGCTGCAGGTGAGTCTCTGCTTTACATAAACACAACACACACATCTACACACACACTGCACACATCTACACACACACTGTGCACACATCTACACACACACTGTGCACACATCTACACACTGCACACAATACAGGAAGCCGTGTCACGAGTGGCTGCAAACGTTTCCTGTTGGAGAGAAACAAACAGAGGCAGCTTTATTCTGCAGCGCGAGGCATTACCTGGTGTTGTAATAATCTGAGTACAGCTTCAGTAATCTGCAGCTGAAGCTTTGCTCAAATCAGAAATGTAGGAATGTAGATATGTAACACCGTGTCGCAGCGGCAGACTGAAATACCCCCTGTTGTTCAGCCCCGTGGAGCCGGGACAGAAAACAACTGTTAGTCCGGATTCACCTCTGACTCTGAACACAGCTTTATTTCACTCTGTGTTTCTCACCCCCATGTTTTTACATCCTTCCTCCACTTTACTCTCATTTCATGCCCACGTACGTGACCGTGTGTCGTCTGCTGGTGTGCGCAGAACGGTGGTAAAGAAGTCCTGAGTTAGGGGGCAATATAGTGTCGTGTTTTGAAAGTGTGGAACCTCAGTGTTTGAAGGATGAACGTGTTGAAAACGGTTTGGAAATTTCAATTTGAAAGAGCGCTTCAGTTTTCAAAAAGGAACATTTTAAAATTGAAAGTTAGCATTTTTACTAAATCAAAGTATGCAAACCTTGAACGTAGGAATCTGGAACATGTTTATTTGCTTTATTTAATGTTGTATTAGCTTTGGTTCTTGGTGCATACAATTAGGGCTTCAATGAAACTCATGTCCGGCTTTAAGACTCTTCAGTTTTAACCCTTTTTTCCAGTTTCAAAATATGACATTATGTTAAGTATCCCAGACTGTTTGAGGCGGTGCGTGTTCCCATAGAACCTTCTAGATCAGCGGTTTTCAAAGTGTGAGGTGCGCCTCCCCGCGGGGGCCGCCAGAGAGCTTCAGGGGATGCGCAGCGTGAGAAAGAAATAACGAGAAACAGTGAAATCTAGCGAGTTAACTTCAGCTAACTTTATGCGAGCGGCAACATGGATCGATTTTTAGTGAAGTGACCTAAAGTGAGAGAGGAGACAGCGTCTGGCAGAAAACGTCTCTTGCACACTTTTGGCTGTCTGTGGAGACCGAGTTCCCCCACCTCGCCAAAAAGGCTGTAAACGTGCTCAATAGGCGCTTTCACACCGGAGTACTTTTCCCGTTTAGTTCCGATAGTGCCTGGAATTTTGCGTTCACACCAAAAAGAGTACTTAGTGCCGGGAACTTTTACCCCCATGTTCAGTGCCTGCTAGAGAGGTGGGACTATCCTGGGGAGAAGAAGTACCAATTTCTGATTGGCTGGGCGAATTGCAAACCACGCCCCGTAAAACTCTGAAAAGTTTTTTGAAGCCGCCATTTTATTTGCTGGCATTAGCATTATGAGCATTAGCATTAGCCCAGCGCACCAACAGAGAGAGACTAACTTATGGCAACACAAAAGAAAACATGACAGTTCACTAGCACCCCCCCCCCCGTTGACAATTATAATAATAGCAATAATTATTGGTAGGGGGGCGCGGCTGTTCTTATGTTCTCCGAGGGGAGGCTCACCTTCCCACACTTTGAAAACCCCTGCTCTAGATGATATAACTCAGTAAATGAACTCCGGTATGTTTCCGTGTTTATGTCAGCGCTGTGAGACGAGCTGACGTAGGATCTGTGTTTGTGATCAGTGCTGGAAGTAGACTGTGGGTCGTTCTGTTTGTCAGAATCTAGACTGATAGTGGATCTGTTCTCTTGGTTTCAGTCCAGCTCTCAGCCCCAGTTTGTTCCTCTTCTCATGTATCCCCCCCGAGTCTCAGAGATGAGCGTCTGATTTCTCTAAACATATACTAACTTTTACTCTTCTGCATCTCTAAAAAGAGTCTGTAAATCCTGAGATTAAATCAGACTACAGATACTTTATTTGTTTTCTCACAGCAGCAGAGAGTTAACAGATATTACACATGAGTAATAAATAGCATCAAATAAGAGGTAAAGTGGAGACAGGTGTTGCTCAGCTTTGGTAATAACAAGTCAGATCTGCGTAGAAGAGGCTGCAGAGCTGTTGGTACCAGCGTAGAGTAACTGACATTAATACTGTGCATCGGGAGGAAGTACTTTGGCTGTTGTATAGATAGTACTGTGTACAGTAGCTGAGTGTGTACAGTAGCTGAGTGTGTACAGGAGATGAGTGTGTACAGGAGATGAGTGTGTACAGGAGATGAGTGTGTACAGGAGATGAGTGTGTACAGGAGATGAATTAAAATGAACATGTACAGGGTACGGTAGCTGTTGCTCGTAGACTTAGTACATCGATACGCAGTGAGTACAGTATTTAGTGGTTGTTACAGGGAGTACATCACAGTAGCTGTTTCCTGTCCACTGACCCTCCATCTGTGCGTGTGTGTGTGTGTGTGTGTGTGTGGCTGTCCTGCAGGATCGTGCTGATTTGTGCCAAGCGGTCGCTTTACGCCGCTTTCTCAGTGCTGCCGTACGGAGAGAGTCACCTGAGGTACAGACCGCAGAGCACACACACACACACATCCCCATCACACACACGTCACCTTTATGTTCTCATCCTCATCATCATTATTACTCTCAGGGGGGGGGCAGTGTGTGAGGTGATATTAAAGGTCTCCTATTGTGCTATTTTTTGTCATATATTATAGGTCTCAGGTCCTGCTTCTTTACACACACTCTCTCCAGTACAGGTTAGCTCTGAGTGTTAGCATGCTAATGTAAACACAGACCATATTACTTCCAGAACACGTCTCATTATTTCATACAGCAACGTTTCTGATTGGCCCGTGGGTGTAAAGCCCGCCCACATTTTAGTAATGTCGTCATGACGCAGCAAATCTGGATCAGCTCCGTGGTTCCCCCGCTTTTAAAGATGTGGGTACGGAGGAAAAGAGAGAGGAAAAGTCAGAATTTGAGGGAAAAAGTCAGAATTTTGAGATTTTGAGGTAAAGGTCAGGATTTTGAATTTTTTAGGAAAATGTCAGAATTTTGAGGAAAACGTCAGAATTTTGAGGTAAAGGTCAGGATTTTGAATTTTTTAGGAAAATGTCAGAATTTTGAGGAAAATGTCAGAATTTTGAGATTTTGGGAAAAAGTCAGAATTTTTAGATTTTGAGGAAAAAACAACATCTTGAGGTAAAGGTCAGGATTTTGAGAAAAATGTCCGAATTTTTTGAAAAATTTCAGAATTTTGAAAACATGGCTTTGTTTTCCGACACTTTGTGAGTCTCCTGACACGCGGGGGACACATGTTGATGTAGAAAAGACATCAGAAAGTGCCTTTTGCATGATGGGAGACCTTTAACACAGCGTTTCTCCTGCAGTGATGCTAAGCTGGAGGCTCACAGACAGAGGCTCTCGTCTGTAGTGGCTGCCGACCTGCTGCCGTCGCTGGAGGGCGTGGAGCTGGGAGACCTGGGGAAGGTACGTGCAGACCAGAAACATACCAGGGCGTATTGTAGTTATTTAATTGCTCTTTTTACTGCTCTGTTAGTGTACAGTTGTATTATTATGTGTTTACTGTATCTTCGTAACTCTGGCACAACAATTTCCTTCGGGATAAATAAAGTCTTATCTTATCTAACGTACATCAGATCTGACATTTAACTCACAGGATCCTTTATCTCTGATGTGAGGGTCACAATTCATATTCACTGTCCAGGACATGGCTGGGGTTTATATAACATGTTTTATTACACATGCTCTCTCCAGTACAGGTTAGCTCTGAGTGTTAGCATGCTAATGTAAACACAGACCATATTACTTCCAGAACACATCTCATTGTTTCTGACAGCAACGTTTCTGATTGGCCCATGGGTGTAAAGCCCGCCCACATTTTAGTAATGTGGTCATGACGCAGCAAATCTGGATCAGCTCCGTTGTTCCCCCGTTTTTAGAGATGTGGGTACGGAGGAAAAGAGAGAGGGGTTTATTTCATGACTCTTTGTGAGTCTCTTGACACACCGGGGACACACCGGGGACACATGGTGACGTAGAGAAGACATCACTTTGAGAGTTTCTTGACACACCGGGGGACACATGGTGACGTAGAGAAGACATCACTTTGAGAGTCTCTTGACACACCGGGGGACACATGGTGACGTAGAGAAGACATCACTTTGAGAGTCTCTTGACACACCGGGACACATGGTGACGTAGAGAAGACATCACTTTGAGAGTCTCCTGACACACCGGGGACACGTGGTGATGTAGAGAAGACATCACTTTGTGAGTCTCCTGACACACCGGGGACACATGGTGACGTAGAGAAGACATCACTTTGAGAGTCTCTTGACACACCGGGGGACACATGGTGACGTAGAGAAGACATCACTTTGTGAGTCTCCTGACACACCGGGGACACATGGTGACGTAGAGAAGACATCACTTTGAGAGTCTCTTGACACACCGGGGGACACATGGTGACGTAGAGAAGACATCACTTTGAGAGTCTCTTGACACACCGGGGGACACATGGTGACGTAGAGAAGACATCACTTTGAGAGTCTCTTGACACACCGGGGACACATGGTGACGTAGAGAAGACATCACTTTGAGAGTCTCCTGACACACGGGGGACACATGGTGATGTAGAGAAGACATCACTTTGTGAGTCTCCTGACACACGGGGACACATGGTGATGTAGAGAAGACATCACTTTGAGAGTCTCCTGACACACCGGGGACACATGGTGATGTAGAAGAGACATCACTTTGAGAGTCTCCTGACACACCGGGGACACATGGTGACGTAGAGAAGACATCACTTTGAGAGTCTCTTGACACACCGGGGACACATGGTGATGTAGAGAAGACATCACTATGTGAGTCTCCTGACACACGGGGACACATGGTGATGTAGAGAAGACATCACTTTGAGAGTCTCCTGACACACCGGGGACACATGGTGATGTAGAGAAGACATCACTATGAGAGTCTCTTGACACACCGGGGACACATGGTGATGTAGAAGAGACATCACTTTGAGAGTCTCCTGACACACCGGGGACACATGGTGATGTAGAAGAGACATCACTTTGAGAGTCTCCTGACAACACCGGGGAACACATGGTGACGTAGAGAAGAACATCACTTTGAGAGTCTCTGACACACCTGGGGACACATGGTGATGTAGAAGAGGACATCACTTTGAGAGTCTCCTGACACACCGGGGACCATGGTGACGTAGAGAAGACATCACTAGTGAGTCTCCTGACACACCGGGGACACATGGTGATGTAGAGAAGACATCACTATGTGAGTCTCCTGACACACGGGGACACATGGTGATGTAGAGAAGACATCACTTAGTGAGTCTCCTGACACACGGGGACACATGGTGATGTAGAGAAGACATCACTTTGAGAGTCTCCGACACACGGGGGACACATGGTGATGTAGAGGAAGACATCCACTTGTGAGTCTCCTGACACACGGGGGACACATGGTGATGTAGAGAGAAGACATCACTTTGAGAGTCTCCTGACACACCGGGGACACATGGTGATGTAGAAGAGACATCAACTTTGAGAGTCTCCTGACACACCGGGGAACACCATGGTGACGTAGAGAAGACATCACTTTGAGAGTCTCTTGACACACGGGGACACATGGTGATGTAGAGAAGACATCACTAGTGAGTCTCCTGACCACACGGGGGACACATGGTTGATGTAGAGAAGACATCACTTTGAGAGTCTCCTGACACACCGGGGACACATGGTGATGTAGAAGAGACATCACTTTGAGAGTCTCCTGACACACCGGGGACACATGGTGACGTAGAGAAGACATCACTTTGAGAGTCTCTGACAACCGGGGACACATGGTGATGTAGAGAAGACATCACTATGTGAGTCTCCTGACACACGGGGACACATGGTGATGTAGAGAAGACATCACTTTGAGAGTCTCCTGACACACCGGGGGACACATGGTGACGTAGAGAAGACATCACTTTGAGAGTCTCCTGACACACCGGGGACACATGGTGACGTAGAGAAGACATCACTTAGTGAGTCTCCTGACACACCGGGGACACATAGTGATGTAGAGAAGACATCACTTTGTGAGTCTCCTGACACACGGGGGACACATGGTGATGTAGAGAAGACATCACTTTGTGAGTCTCCTGACACACCGGGGACACATGGTGATGTAGAGAAGACATCACTTTGTGAGTCTCCTGACACACGGGGGACACATAGTGACGTAGAGAAGACATCACTTTGTGAGTCTCCTGACACACCGGGGACACATGGTGATGTAGAAGAGACATCACTTTGTGAGTCTCCTGACACACCGGGGACACATGGTGATGTAGAAGAGACATCACTTTGTGAGTCTCCTGACACACGGGGGACACATAGTGACGTAGAGAAGACATCACTTTGTGAGTCTCCTGACACACCGGGGACACATGGTGATGTAGAAGAGACATCACTTTGTGAGTCTCCTGACACACCGGGGACACACCGGGGACACATGGTGATGTAGAGAAGACATCACTTTGAGAGTCTCCTGACACACCGGGGACACAACGGGGACACATGGTGATGTAGAGAAGACATCAAAAAGTGCATTTTGCATGATAGGAGACCTTTAGATAACAACAATCTGAACCCTCTCTCTCTCTCTCTCTCTCTCTCTCTCTTTCCCCCCCCTCAGACGGTGTCGTACGCCCAGTTTCTGTTCCCCACCAACGCCCTGGTGAGGCTGAAGAGTGGGGGGGGCGCCGGACAGCGCTCAGACCCCCCAGTCCCGTTTCCGAGGCAACGGGCAGAGGACCTTCACCCCCGCCCGCCTGAACAACAGCGTGGCACCAGAGCCCAGTACGTCTTACACACACACACACACACACACACACACACTTTATTTCCCCTATTTCCTGCCCCTCAGGTGTATTTTTGTGTTTACTGTGCAAGTGTATTCACTGTGTGTGTAGGTACCAGGTGTATTGACTGTGTCTACCTAACCTGGATATGTTTGAGTTAGCCGGTTGGCCCAATCCAAAACATACGCGCTCTCGCTAAACTGTACTACGACGCTGGTTATCAAGTGGATCGCTCAAGCCAGCCGTGTCCTATCTAGTTAGGTGCGCGTTCACATGAAAGGGGTGGTATCTGGAGCATTCGACCAATCACAAACATGGACAAGCGTACTGACAGCGCAGCGTCATACTTCCTGAATGAAAAGTGAACTTTAATATTAGTCAAATATGAAGAAGTTAAACTTTAAACATCCATGACTTAAACACTTTATCCAGGATCAAAGCCACATAGCTGCACCTGCAAGGTGAATACAGCTGGTAACAGAGAAAGTGTTTGAATGCGTACATTAACAGGTTTATGATATCACTGCCCCGTCTAAGACACGATCTGACTTTAATTACATTTGACTCGAGTGTTTCGTCAACTTAATGTGTTGCTTAAAATAATACTTCTGCATCCAGTATGTGACACTGTGAGTGTTGCACGGCCAGATACGGCTCAGCTGACTCAGATAAGGAAATATATGATACATTATGATGTGATATGATATGAATGATAATGGGACACATCTACGTCTGCACTCACAGTGCCGCGGACTGTACTTAATGTTACTCTGATCCGGTTACTTATGTCGTGGCAGATATTTAAGTAAGCTTTCTTAACGCTAATGTTATAATAGTCAGATTGCTGTGAAGATGGGAGGTGATATTCTATTAATGTTCACGTTCACACAGTCAGTTGATTTTTGCCGGCCGTCTTTCCTGCAACGGCAGTTTTTCTGTATCCTCTATCCTGTAATATGACTTGATCGCTTTAAACTCCGCACACTGAGCTCTGATTGGTCAGCAGGCGGTGCTTTCACTGAGTTGATCTCTTAGCCTGCAACCTAACCTAACTAAGGAGGTTAGCCGCTCAGCATCAGTTACCATGGAGATCTAGCCCGCTAAAAAGAGAACCAGCGTCGTAGGACCGGAAAGCCCGAGTTTTCCCTGAAGTCAGCCGGCTAAGAGAACATCTGGCTTCGTAGTACAGGCCTCTGGTGTATTCACTGTGTGTCCAGGTGTATTTCCTTCAGGTGTATTAACTGTGTGTGTGTGTGCAGGTGTGGAGGAGGTGGTGGAGTACGACCCCAACCTGCTCAGTGACCCTCAGTGGCCGTGTGGCCGACACAAGAGGGTCCTGATCTTCGCTTCATACGTGGTGAGAGGTCGCTCCTTTCTCTAAGTGTGTTGACGTGCAGGTGAATAATCAACAAGGACAGATTATTCACTTAGCTCAGTTCTTAAAGACGATGTGAAGAGAAAAACCTAGAGCTGAAGAATCCTTTAGTCTTTGGACAAAAAATAACCAGTTGCTATTTTGGAAAATCTATTATTGATTTGCAGGAAAACCCAAAGTAGCTGCAGGTCTTAGAAAGTCTTTACTTTAGTGCATGAGAACACAGGATGTTCTGTTCTTATTGTGTTGAAGATATTCAGGGCTGTTTTCATTTGACCTGTGAAACGATGGACTGTTGGAGATACGTCCCTCCATTGTGTCCCGTTGACATGCTGCAGAGTGGACCCTCTCACGGTCTGCAGTCTGAGTCCAGCCTCAGGGTCTTTGTCTCATGTCACCGTTATGAGTCCTTCAGACTGACTCCTCTCTGCTCTCTGCAGACCACCATCGTGGAGTACGTGAAGCCTTCAGACCTGAAGAGGAACATGAACGAGATGTTCAGAGAGAAGTTTCCTCACATCAAGCTGACGCTCAGCAAGATACGAAGGTACACACACACACCTTTATATTTCACATCACTGAGGAAACTACGAAACAAGACATTACTTGTAAATCAATAAAGTGTATGTTCATGTTTGTGGAGTTTGTTGGTGTGTCTGCGTTTTAAGACGACACGTGGATCTTTGGATCTGTTCACAGAAACATTGAGGAGAGAAATCTACATGTATAGAAACATGTTACAGCCTGAACCCCACGAGTTTCTCCAGACTAACCTCCCTCTCTCTCTCTCAGTCTGAAGCGGGAGATGCGAGCGATGAGTGACGACTGCGGCCTGCAGCCGGTCACCATCGCCATGTCCTTCGTTTACTTTGAGAAGCTGGTGCTGCAGGGCCGCCTCAACAAACAGAACAGGAAGCTGGTGGCGGCGACCTGCGTCCTGCTGGCAGCCAAGATCAGCAGCGACCTGCGGAAACCTGAGGTCAAACAGCTGATCGACGTGAGCACACACACACACACATACACATACACATACACACACACACACACAAAATAAGTAAAATCCTCATTATTCAATAGCATCAAACTGTAAACACTTCAGTGTGTGTGTGTGTGTGTGATAATCTGCATCCTCTGTAACCCTGCCCTCTCCCTCTGTCCCCGTCTGGAGCAGAAGCTGGAGGAGCGGTTCCGGATCAACCGGCGGGAGCTGATCCCTCTGGAGTTCCCCGTGCTCGTGGCTCTGGAGATGGGCCTGTATCTCCCCGAGAGCAAAGTCATGCCCCACTACCGCAGACTGGTGCAGCAGGGCTAGTGTGTGTGTGTGTGTGTGTGGTTGTTGTGTGTGTGTGTGTGTGTGTGTGTGTGTGTGTGGTGTGTGTGTGTGTGTGTGTGTGTGTGTGTGTGTGTGTGTGTGTGTGGTGTGTGTGTGTGTGTGTGTGTGTGTGTGTGTGGTGTGTGTGTGTGTGTGTGTGTGTGTGTGTGTGTGGTGTGTGTGGTGTGTGTGTGTGGTGTGTGTGTGTGTGTGTGTGTGTGTGTGTGTGTGTGTGTGTGTGTGTGTGTGTGTGTGTGTGTGTGTGTGTGTGTGTGTGTGTGTGTGTGTGGTGTGTGTGTGTGTGTGTGTGTGTGTGTGTGTGTGTGTGAATAAATAAGCTCTGGTGCTTGAAACTATAACTCGTGTGTGGGGCACGTTAATTGTGCTTTTATCTTGGTGACCCGTTTCCTTTTGGTCCGTCCTTGTATTCTCAATGTACGGAAGCCCAGAGGGGTCAAACGATCATCTGGTGATCCGTCCTGCACCTTCCTCACTTCTATACGCAGCCTGTGTAGGGTGCATTACGAACTACAAAGAACCATACTGTTGATTTTTGTAAATGCCTTTTCTTTAAAACTCACTGTGAAGTGTTTTTAGCCATTTCACTGAAACATGATACTGTAGAGGTTCGCCTCTTATTTAAGAAGTGGCCTTTTTAATTTATGTATTTTATTGTGTGTCAATAAGCAATCAATAATCCAGCCACTTTCATGATGTATTGATCCGGTGGCAGCTGTGTGTCCCGACTGGAGGCGTATTTATTATAGTCATTCTTTTATATATTGTTATCAAGAAACACTGGAATGTATTCCTCTGTATTTTTCAGTTCTCAGGAATTTTACTTTCTAATCTTTAACAGCTGATGAGATCGAACCCAAAGAGACGTCTGAGTGTCACTCACATGTGGTCAATGGACGGTAACTGACTGTACTGCTGTCACACATTTAGCTGTTCGTTTATGGGTCAAAAAAGTGCCTGAAATGACAGTAAATCATCATATATATATTTAACGTTGACATTTCAGAGTCCTGCTGCTGTTCACATGTTTAAATGTTGAGGTTGTTGTTGTTGTTGTCCGGGAAAAATAATCACAAGTTGTACTTTTACTGTGTTACGATAACCGTCCGAACAGATCTGTACCTGCACATGTTGTACTTGTATGGTTTAAATGGGTGAATATTCATTGTTTTCTTACGGTAAAATGAATGTTTTTTCAAATATATTTTCAGAATTTGAAAAATTCATGCAGCGTTTCTGTTTTTTGACTCAATAATGAATGAAGCTGTAAATCTCCTCGAAGCAGACCAGAGGCCTGTACGACGAAGCTGGTTCAACTTAACCTGGATATGTTTGAGTTAGCCGGCTTACCTAATCCAAAACATATGCGCTCTCGCTAAACGGTCCTACGACGCTGGTTATCAAGTGGATCGCTCAAGCCAGCCGTGTCCTATCTACTTAGGTGCGCGTTCACATGAAAGGGGTGGTATCTGGAGCATTCGACCAATCACAAACATGGACAAGCGTACTGACAGCGCAGCGTCATACTTCCTGAATGAAAAGTGAACTTTAATATTAGACAAATATGAAGAAGTTAAACTTTAAACATCCATGTCTTAAACACTTTATCCAGGATCAAAGCCACATAGCTGCACCTGCAAGGTGAATACAGCTGGTAACAGAGAAAGTGTTTGAATGCGTACATTAACAGGTTTATGATATCACTGCCCCGTCCAAGACACGATCTGACTTTAATTACATTTGACTCGAGTGTTTCGTCAACTTAATGTGTTGCTTAAAATAATACTTCTGCATACAGTATGTGACACTGTGAGTGTTGCACGGCCAGATACGGCTCAGCTGACTCAGATAAGGAAATATATGATACATTATGATGTGATATGATATGAATGATAATGGGACACATCAACGTCTGCACTCACAGTGCCGCGGACTGTACTTAATGTTACTCTGATCCGGTTACTTATGTTGTGGCAGATATTTAAGTAAGCTTTCTTAACGCTAATGTTATAATAGTCAGATTGCTGTGAAGATGGGAGGTGATATTCTATTAATGTTCACGTTCACACAGTCGGTGCTTTCACTGAGTTGATCTCTTATCCTGGAACCTATCCTGCTCCGGAGCAGGCTAGCCGTACAGCATAAGTTATCTAGCCCACTAAGAAGTGAACCAGCGTCGTAGGACCGGAAATCCAGGAAGTTAGCTCGCTAAGCGAAAATCCTGCTTCGTAGTACAGGCCAGTCCAGTTCTCTATCTTATAGACGGTTCGGCCACACGAGGCCGACAGGGAAACGCAGATAACGATAACGGGTCCCAAGGTGGGTAGATCTGCGGATGCAACGCTCTGGGGGGCCAAACGGCTCCGTGTCTACGCCCTATACCAGGGATGGGCAACTTTGATGGTGGTGGGGGCCACATCATTTATGTACTGGCCACCAGGGGGCTGCAGATTCACTTGGAACACACACACACACACAAATTCCATGTATTGTATGTAATTATTAACAAATATACTAAGTCTGACATCTTCATTGACATTTTACAATCTTTCAGGGAACATCCTCTAATAAGCTCACTAAACAAATATCAGTTCACAGACATTTTATTTAATTTTTACAAGTGGCATGTTTGTATTGAACAGGTTATTTAACAGTGGAATAAAACTATTTTAAACTATTGGAAAGCACGGAAAATGTGCTTGTCATGAACACTAAACCAGACATTAGTTGTCTAACTTGAACCTAGTTATTGCCACTCGTCGACTGAAGTATTTGCGGTGTGTTCGTAGGCGGGCGGCGTAGCCGACGCAGGCGACGTAGCTGACGGAAAAGTCGGGACGCCTTCGGTACGCGTTCTTTGGTCTCAGGTGGGTGTGTAGCGGCCTTTATTCCACAATAAGGGTAATGTCAACACAGACACCTGTCAACCCGCACTCTGCTGTTCCTCAGCGCCGCTCCCCCTCCCTCCCGCTGAAATTATGAATGAAAAGCGTATAGTAATCATAGATAACACGGCAGGGTCCGTGACAGTTTGTTTTCATCTGATTTCAAATAAACGAAGTCTTGGTTTTTAGAATACTAAACTTGTTTCGCCAAATTCAGATGATAAATGCAACTTTGAAGCTTGTAACGGCATAATTACAAGCGGTAACTTGACGTCACAGCAGGCATAACAACAGCCGGTGTTTCTTGTGAGTGTTTCCCCGGGAAACAAACACAATACACACAAACGCGTCACAGATTATTTCGCGGTATTTGAAATCATGTACGCAGCTCGCGACGTAACTAGCAGTCTAGTGGACGGTATCAGTACTACAAGTAAAACAAATATTAATATTAATATTATTAAAATGTTTTTTAAATGAGTTACGTTGTTTATAAATGTATCTGAGGGCCGCAAAAAGAGGAGGTGGGGGCCGCATGCGGCCCCCGGGCCGCCATTTGCCCATCCCTGCCCTATGCGATCATTTCCTGATAACGATGACGCAATAGCTCCGCCTCTCCCCACCTCTGCTGCTCACTGCTGTAGCATGGTCAGTATAGCTACTGTCAGTAGCTACTGCTACTGACCATGCTACAGATGTTAGTGCAAAATCTACAGCTCCTCTACCACATCCATCAGCAACAAGTGGACATGGATAACTATGAACTACATGTTGCTAAATCCACAGAGAATAAACAGAAGGGCAACCAGGCAACCATGCTCGGGGGGGTCTTCTTCGATGCTTTTGGTGTATTTTGTGGTGGAAGTACAGCGCCACTTACAGGCCCGGCATATGTACTACAGCGTCTCCAGCGGCTCGAGCTGTCTCGTGTGGACGGAAGACTTTTTTTTTTCGTCTCCGTGAGGCTCCAGCCTGAAGTTCCCACTGTGGGTAAAAATAATGCGCTGTGATGTGCAGTCGACACGTTGGATGCGATCCGAATTATCACACACAGTTCCTCGTCCTCCACAATGTTAAGCCTGCAAGCTGTAGCCACCAATTTAGCTATCGCTGTTGAAAGCTTGCTGCTCGTAGACGTGTCGAGGCGTCTCTCTCCCCGGCAAACTTGCAAGCGTGGTCTGCCGCAAGCGAGCGGCAGGAGTGGGGCTGTCAGCTCGCTAGAATCTCCCACCATGCAACTAACAACAACAATAACAACGTCAAGCCTTTGCGCTCTGAAACCACGAGGCGGGCCGAGGGCAAATACACATGCGTTAATCGCACGTTCAAATAATTAGTGGCGTTTAGAGAAATTTGCGTTAACGTGTTAATAACGCGTTAATTAACTTTGACAGCCCTACATTTTACACAATTCTGTATCATACAGATGCAGGACTTGCACACACCTGTTATCTAACCAACAGGTCCGCACGCACACTCCAGCCGAAACTCTCTCGTCTTATTAATTTAGGAATTTTCTTATTCATTTATGCAGCCAACCCAAATGCATAACCAGCCGCTTAATGCGCAGTGCAGATTCGGTAATGAATACAAAATAAGCATTCATTCACAAACTAAATCAGGAGACCTTTAAAGTTTTACGTTCACATCAAGGTATCAGTAGACTACGTGTATGAAATACATGACTTCAAAAACAGTTATGTGCAGAAACATTGCATGCAATCAGGGGCGGACTGGCCATCTGTAGAATCTGGAGAACCACAGAACGGCCGGTCGTCAAGGGCCGTTGACGGCCGGCCGGCCCTTTAAAATAAAATTGTTTAACGTCATCATTTAAGTTGCGCTGACGGCCGACAGAGGGCGACAGCGGCCGCTAATGCAGTTGTGTGATTCTTATCTGTCAAATAATCACACACGAAGAAGAAAAAAGACCGGCCACACGAAGAGAAGGGATTAGACGCCGCGGCAGACAGGGAGAATGAAAAAACATGGATACAAATCTAAGAAAACGAAAAGAAAAAGGTGGGGCTGAGAAGGCAAGAGAAAAAAAGGTGAAGTCACTCGCAGGTGAAGCATATAAATGATGCAAATTGACAGACCTTTTTGGCAGCAGCGCTGCTACAAGCACTATCAGCAGCTTAGAACAAGTGCAAGATGATGAAGA